AATAAGTTTCCTAAATTACTGAGACCTGACTCAGATATTTGTTGTTTATCCTACTAATGTACAGCCTCCAGAGTTACAAGGCCTATATCAGTTTTCAGGATTTTTCCCCTTTGGGTTGTTTGTTATTTCCTGCTTTATTGTCTATGTTTTACTTCTCTTTTTCTCCCACAGTTTTCTTATTAATGGGATGTGAGACTTCCCAACATTTGAAACACAGGAAACAGTGAACTATACTTACAACATGGAACCTGATTATCTAGGACTACTACCTCCTACCCATGAAAGATAAAACAAAACAGGAGACTAGAAACTCATTTGGTTGTAAAATGCTTCCTCTGAAAGATTCTGAAAAGGAAAAGGTGGGGAAAATATCAAAGGAAAATAAAAACTTGTGATCTCAATTCATTACGTCATGCGGGGGGACGTAAAGATGATCTACACAAGAAACCGATTTTTCTTTCATTCTTAAGAAAATAGTTATAGACAAAAAAGTTAAATATCTTCACAGATAGTTACTCTTTGTTCCTTTTATTTATGTAAAGTGCTGACTTAGTGCAGGAAAAGTACATAATTTTCTATTTCCCTGTGTGCTTCTTTTTCATAACATATAAATTTTCATCCCATCACTCTTTCCCCTCTAGCCAGCTTTTCTCTTTTTTTAGGGCTTTTTGTATTGAAAGCCCTAAAAATCATCTTTGGGGAACAACATTAACCACACACTCTTTTGTGTAATTACTTTAATTTTCATTCCAGGCATGCCCTAACTTTGGCAAAATTTATTTTAATTTGATTGTGATCTGTCTCAGAAACCTTTGGTTGCTACTAGGAAATATCCCAAATTAGGAGTCAATTACTGTAAGAATCAGATATACTACTGTGTGCGTGTGCTTGTGTGTGTGTGTGTGTGTACAAGTGTGTTTTAATTTTTGTGGGCTTTGAGCCATGTAGTTCTCTCTGTGAAGATACTGTTTGGCATGACCTTTGAATAGAGAATTCTGAAAGAAATGAGGCTCTTACGAATTCTCTGAAAGTTTCTGGACTCCTCGTGGCCCTTGACTGTGTCATTGCATCTGACAGTCCCAGGGAAGAGACTCTCTGGTGGTTTCATAGAATCTGTGCTTGGGCTCTCCCTGCAGTTTACTGGGTATAGTAATGACAAGTCACTGTTTCAAGAGATAATTTCAAAAGCATAAGATGCTGCTAAAAGAGCATTGTGAACAGGGGACAGCCCCTTCATTCTGGGAGAGCGACATTGGGAGGCCATGCTCTGTGAGCCCAAACAGCACCCTCCCCTGCAGGGTGAGGACAGAGCTGCAGGGCAGGCCCAGAACCCACTCAACACAGATGTCAGCCCTGGAGCTGCTGCAGAGGAGTCTGAGGGGAAAATTTTTTCCAGCACCTGAATTACACTCATTTCAGAACAAAAATGCTATTAAAAAGTTAAAATAAGTAATTAATGTTCAGGCACAGTGGTTTACACCTATAATCCTAGCAATTTGAGAGGCAGAGGTGGGAAGATTACTTGAACCTAGGAGTTTGAGATCAGCCTGTGAAACATAGTGAGGCTTCATCATTATTTTTGAAAATAAAATAAAAATAAAATAAAATATAAAAAATTTAGCAAAAACTACTGATGTGTCTTTCCATATCCCATCATACGTGGAGCGTTTACGTAACCCAATGAATCAGTGAGAACCAAATTTGAAAGGAGAAAATTTTAGAGTTTTCAGATATCTTTATAGTTAGAAGATGTAGAAGAAAAATAATTTTATCAATTCAATGTGCGCAAATACTGAGAGACACAGTCACGCCAGGAGTTCAACCTGTAGAGGGCAAAACCCAAAAAGGGTTGAGGCTTGAAGGTGAGATCATTTTGAGGACCATGTCCTGTGAGAGTTTGCTTCTCTATTAGAGGAGTTCTGTCCTCATGAAGTTCTGGACATGCCAGGGGACAAATATCAGTAAACAAACATCAGAACTTGAACCTCAGCTTCCCACTGTTGCATTCTCCATGTGTCATCTCTCTGTTATTTCTCATGATCGATCAGTTCATTAGCTATGAAATATTCTGCCTAATTAACATGTAAATAGCTTGAAGTCTACTGAGTTAAAAACATTTATTTTCTCCTGTTTTTCCCAGTTGTTCCCTCCCACAGCTCCAATATTCTCCACTGTTATCATCTCGTTCTAGATCTCCTGCCATGCCCTACAGTTTAAGGATTTGATTCCATGACAGAATGGAGGTGCCTCTCGATGAAACTTTGGTCAGAACCTCGATTTTTATTTCATTTCCTCTGGGGCTCCACCAGTGCCTCTGGAATAATGGTTTCAGTGGCTGGCCCTTACAGGGTAGGTAATTCCTCAGTTCTGTAGTGCTGATGAGGGAGGTGGGTCTGAATGCATTTCAGAAGTAGGGCTCTCCCTCTCTCTTAGACACTTTGGGAAAGGAACACTCTTCTGACTGTCCCCATTCTAGGGCAAAGGGATTCAACAGGATAGGAATGCTGATCAAAGAAAACCTTCAGCCGAATTAAATTCAAAGGAGTTTAATGGAGCAACGGATGGTTCGTGAATCAGGCAGCCCCAGAATCACAGTAGATTCAAAAAGACTTTAGTTCAGCCACGTGGTGGAAGTAGATTTATAGATTTAAAAAAAAAATGATGTACAGAAATCAGAAGTGAGGTACAGAAACAGCTGGACTGGTTACAGGTTGGAATTTGCCTTATTTAAACACAGTTTGCACACTCGAGAGTGTATGAGTGGTTGAAGTATGGCTGCTGGAATTGGCTAAGACTCAGCTATTGTTACAGGTGCATACTCCTACGTCAGGTTTTCAACGTTGTCTCCCTACTCAGGCAGGTTACAGTTTGTCCACAAAGACTCAAACATAGAAGTACAGAGTCCTTCTCAGGCCGTATATAATTCACTTTATCAGTGCCCTTCAGTATGTGGTTCCTGAGAATTTCACACGACAACACGTTTACCACGCTGAAATTTAAGCAATCCAATACATGTTTATAGCTTCATCTTGTAATAGGCTATATGTCATATGGCAGCCTCTGCCTCAGTTTAACACCATAGCTTTGTTTCTCTCTACAAGAACTTGTTTCTCCCAAGATTTCCATATTTGTGAAAGGAAAATAAATCTTTGGGACCCCCAAATCACTAAGCCAAAGGAAAAAGTCAAGCTGGAAACTGTTTGGGGCAAACCCCCTCCATTATTTCCCTAAAATGATAGCTGCTAAGGTTTTACAAAGCTACACACCTCCTTCAAAATTTGACCACAAGGAAAACCCTTGTGGACCAAGGACAGACACAGTGATTTTTCTGCTCACGTAAGTCAAATGCACATCTGATTGCTATCTTTGCTCTATTGTTTCGCCAACGCAGACTATGGTCTATGTGACTATTCCTGTAAATTGTGCATTCAGTTAAAGGCTAATCAGAAACTTAAAAGAATGCAACCATTTGTCTCATACCTACCTATGATCTAGAAGCTCTCTCCCCACTTCGAGTTGTCCTGCCTTTCTGAACCAAACCAATGTACATCTTACATATATCGATTAATGTCTCCTGTCTCCCTAAATTGTATAAAACCAAGCTGTGCCCCACAACCTTGGGCACATATCATCAGGACTCCCTGAGGCGGTGTCACAGGCATGTCCTTAATCTTGGAAAAATGAACTTCCTAAATCTATTGAGATTAGTCTTGGATAGTCTTTGGTTTACAGGTTTGTTTTCTATCACATAACTTTAATTATCTGAAAAACTAAAGAAAATTTGCCAAACAGCACATTCTCTTGTTTAATCTGTTATTGTTTTGTAAAAAGAAATATATTTATATAATTTATATATAATTTTCCATCGATGTACATTACCAAGCTGAGTAGCACACTTATTAGTAAGACTCAGAGTAATAAAAAATACAAGTTCACTTAGCAACTTAGTGGAAAAACAAATTATGCTACATTTGTTTGCTGAAATGCTACCCATTATTTATAAGAAATAAACACACACAACAAAAAGGTTTAATTCTCAGTATTTCTATTGAGAAAAATAAGCCAAATAGATGAGTATATACTATATTGCTTTATTCTTATAAATTCTAGAAAATGAAAGCTAGTTTAAAGACATATGAAAACATTAGTAGTTTTATAAAGAAATGGTAGAAGAAGGGAAGGAGAGAAAACAAAAATCATATAAAAGACCAAGAGGAATGCTGAGGTGAGCTGACTTGTCACCTTCTTTAAAATAGGAATTTTTTTTCAACGTTTACTATTGTACAGGTTAAATGTGAATTTTATTATCTGTCAATTAAAACTTATAAAATTTATTACAAGTAAACAACTGAAATTTTAGACAAAGAAGGAATGATAGGAAGGGACAAATAAATATGTTAAATGTCAGGTATACCTAAACATTTACCTGCCTGAACCTTTTCTCCATATTTTTAGGTAAATGCAGCAAAATCACACAGGTTCTCATGACAGAAAGCAGATTGTGCAAAACACACTAGGCACGTTTAGCTCTTTCCTGGAGTTGATTAAGAGAACAACTGAGGCCAGCTGTGAGGAGCATAGGCCGGGATAGTAGGACTCACTCATGCCAGATATAAGCCCTTAGACACATACACAGCCCCTCCATGTGTGGGTTCACTTTCACATCTGTAAATGAAGAAACCACTGACTCCTACAAAACATAATATATACACATAGGTAAACATAAGTAAAAACGTGACGGTTGTTAAATATTTATCACAGAACAATTTCACAATAAGACAGCATTTTCATAAATATAATCATTGTCATCAAAACCCCCACGGACACTCTCATCTGCCCCGGGCTCTGCCCTCTCCTCAGGCGTCCCACCCCAGAGCTTGCTATATAGTAGGAGACATGCAAATAGGTGCCTCCCTATTCTGATGAAAATCAGCCCAGCCCTGACCCTGCTGCTCTGGGAAAGGAACCCCAGTCTTGGGATTCCCAGGGATTTTCATTCGGTGATCAGCACTGAAGACAGAAGACTCACCATGGAATTTAGGCTGAGCTGGGTTTTCCTTGTTGCTGTTTTAAAAGGTGACTCGTGGAGAACTAGAGATATTGAGTGTGAGTGGACATGAGTGAAAGAAACAGTGGATATGTGTGGCAGTTTCTGACCTTGGTGTCTCTGTGTTTGCAGGTGTCCAGTGTGAGGTGCAGTTGGTGGAGTCTGGGGGAGGCTTGGTACAGCCTGGGGGGTCCCTGAGACTCTCCTGTGCAGCCTCTGGATTCACCTTCAGTAGCTACTACATGTACTGGATCCGTCAGGCTCCAGGGAAGGGGCTGGAGTGGGTCTCCGCTATTAATACTGGTGGGGGTAGCACATGGTACACAGACTCCGTGAAGGGCAGATTCACCATCTCCAAAGAGAATGCCAAGAACACACTGTATCTTCAAATGAACAGCCTGAGAACTGAGGACACGGCTGTCTATTACTGTGCGAAAGACACACAGTGAGGGGAAGTCAGTGTGAGCTCAGACACAAACCTCCCTGCAGGAACGCGGGGGGGGAAATCAGCGGCAGGGGGCGCTCGGGACCCACTGATCAGAGTCAAACCCAAACGCAGGTGCAGATGGAGGCTGATTTTCTGTCAAGATGTGGGACTTTCTTTTTGCAGTTTCTCTGGTGAACCTCTCTAAGTTCGAAATTCTGTGCTTACCAATGTCATCTCTACATATTTTTAAAATGATTGTTTTAATATGATAATCTATTCTCATATGCACAAAATGCAGATTGATGCTTACAGAGATGAAAACTTCTCAACCATGGTTGCCTTGCAGGGCTTCCTGGTGAGCCTTCTCCAATCAGACTCAGGACAGGAACTTCAGAAAGATTCCCTGATGAGAATAGTCTTTAGGATTCTGATTACAACAAAGAGAGAGGCTGGGCTGGGGTCAGTGTCATGTAGAACCTCACAGGTTTCATGTCTGATCCTTCTCCTGACACTGAAGTATGCAAATCAGAATCAGCACGGATCTAATGTTGCTTTTGCCTGCCATCTATGTTTTTTTTTTTTTTTTTAGTTTTAGTTGTTGTTCTTCCTCTTTCATTGGCTTTTCCTGCTCCCTGAAAATATAAAATGTGGTTTCTGTGGTCTAAATTCTAGGGCCCAAGCTCTTTTCTTGGAGCTCAGGTGGGTCTCAGGCTGTGGCTCCTGCAGCTATGTGGGGGAGACTGATGAGACTGTCTTCACTCCCATTGCTCAGGACCCTACATTGTGTTCTGTGTAGACTCATCTGGGAATGCAAATGGCCGGTGGGAACTGCAGGCAATAAGCTTGCTTGGTCAACATGAGATGTGGATGCGGAATTGATCCTGTGCTGTGCAAACTGCCATGGGGTCACCTTCTTCAGCAGCAGTGGTATAAAGTGGGTGTCAAAGTTGCCAGAATAAAAACGGAGCCACTAGTGTTAAAACCCTGACAAATGAAGCTGGAGAAGGCCATGAGGGAGGGTTCTCACACTCATCCCTGATAACAAGAACTATCCTAAATAGACTGAAAAACCACAACCTGCACAAAGGCCACTGCAACCATAAAGTAATTACTTCTCCAAGTGCATCTGCCCAGCATCTGCCTGTTCAACCTTACACTGATGTCACTCTTGTTCATGCTTCTAACCCAGAATAATAGTCTCAAAGCTATTCGTCTAACCCTCCTCATTTTTCTTTCAAAATCCTTGTCTTCCTTTACCTACCTGAATGCAAACATGCATATTCCCATTGTGACATCCATCCTCAAATAAATATTATTTTATTTTAGAGTTTCTTTCTGTTTGTTTTTCAGGTTTGACAAGCTACAGATGGACAGGCCACCTTTCTGTGAGATGTAGAGGATGACAATTTGTGGGGGGTGGCTAGGGATGTACAATGTCCATGAGATAAGTCATCAGTAGGAGAGAGCTCGAAGTGTCAGAGAGAGCTGAAGTGTGAATCATCATGGAGTTTCACCTACTCCAGTGCTGCTCTGATGGAATCAGGCCTACCCAGGTTATCAGTGACAATCTACCTAACCTAGAGGCAACCAATGACATTTTAATAACATGTATAAAGTATATTTACAACACCCCCTAGGTTAGTATTGGATCGAATAACTGCAAAATGTAACTTAGCCAATTGCACCATAAAACGTATACTTGCCCATGGAGAAGGACCTTCAACACGAGATCTATGGTCTTAAAATTTTTTAAGTTGTAAAACTGAGCATTTTACAATTAGGCTATTATAATTTTGCTGAATTTTACAATCTACATATATATTTTGGCTATTCTCACTTTTTCAGATGCGTGGCTTGCAACTATATTCTCCCATTCTGTAGGCTGGAAATTTTTCCTTGCGTTGCGGGACCTTTCTATTTTGATGTTGTCCCACTTGTTCAACTCTGCTTTTGTTGTCCATGCTTTTAATGTAAAATCTAGAAAATCATTCTGAAGTTTTTTGCGGGAGAGAAAATTTTACAATTGCAGTCCATACATTTAACACTTTAACCCATTTAGAGTGTTTTTAAAATTAAATCTGACCTAAAATTCTTAATTCTTTGCATGTGTAAATCCAGTTTTTCTGACTCCCTCTTTGGGAGAGACCATGATTTAGCCATTATATGTTCTTGGATATAGTCCTATTTAGCTATTGTATTTTCTTACGTATTTATTTCACACTGAAAATTTGTTTGCCATCAATATATCAGTTTATTTCTGAGCTTTCTACATGCATTTATGCCAATAACATCCAGTTTTTATTACTCAATTTTTAAATTAATTTTGAAATTTAAAAGTAAGATGACTCCAAGTTTGTTCTTGCCTTGTTACAGATATTGGGACAAAATATTTTAACCTTTCACCATTAAGTAGGATAATAGCTATGGCTTCTCATAATGACTTTTATTATTTACAAGTTATTTTTCAGTATTACTAGTTTGTTTAGAGTATTTTTATGATGGAGTTTTGCATTTTAAAATGGAATTTTCTGTGTCTGGTGAGAAGTTAATAGGATTTTTTCTTTTATTCTCTTTATTTGGTATACCACATACATTGATTCGAGGACATTGAATTATTGCTGCATCTCAAAAGTAAATTTGTGTTGGTAATAGTGCACAATTCCTTTAGTCTTGTGGAATATAGTTGATAATTATTGGGCAGGTGGTTTATTTTTGTATATTAGGAATATTGGTCTGTAGTTTATTTTTCTGCTCTTGCCCTTGTCTATTAGTGGTAATATGGTAATTGTAGCCTTATAGAAAGTGTTTGAAAGGTTGGCGCCACACCAATTTTTGAGAAAGTTAGAGAACTTTAGCATTACTTATGTAAATGTTGAGACTTATTTTTTTCCTTTAACATATAACCTATCATGGAGAATATTTAGTCTGTGCTTGGGAAGCGTGCATATTATGCTGCTGTTGGTTGAAATGATCTGTAGATGTCTGTTAGGTTACTTTGGTTAATAGTGTTGTTCAAGTCCACTGTTTTCTTAACAATTTTTTTTCTGGATGTTCTATGCATTATTGAAAGTAAGACATTGAAGTCTTCTATTTTCTTATTGTTTCTTATTTATTTCTTTATAACTCTTAAAGTTTGCTTAATACAGTCATATTTCTATTTGTATAATACAAATATGTAAAAATAATAATAATTACTTGGCAATTTTAATGGCACAGTCGCATAATAAGAATTTAAATTTTCCCAAATGCTGCCATTGCCTCTAAACTCCTCCAGGAGTCTCACATCTGCTCTGGGCCCTGCTCTTCCCTCAGGCGTCCATCCCCAGATCTTACTATAGAGGAGGAGACCAGCAAAGAAGCCTTCCCTCTTCTGATGAAAACCAGCCCAGCCCATGTTCTGTAGCTCGGAAAGAAGAGCCCCAGCCTTGTTCCCAGGTGTTTCCACTTGGTGATCAGAAGTGAACACAAGTGACTCACAATAGGATTTTGACACAGCTGGGTTTTCCTTGTTGTTGTTTTTAAAGGTGATAGATGGAGAACTGGAGATATTGAGTGTGAGTAGATATAAGTGACAGAAAGGGTGGATATACATGGCAGCTTCTGATCACAGTGTCTCTTTGTTTGCAAGTGTCCAGTGTGAGTTGCTGCTGGTGGAGACTTGGTACAGCCCATGGGGGTCCCTGAGACTCTCCTGTGCAGCCTCTGGATCCACCTTCAGTAGTTGCTGGATCAGCTGAATAGGCCAGGCTCCAGGGAAGGGGCTGCAGTGAGTAATAGATGTAAAGTATAAAGGAAGGAAAACATACTAAGTAGACTCTGGGAAGGGCAGATTCACTGTCTCCAGAGACAATGCCAACAACTCGCTGTATCTGCAAATGAATAGTCTGAGAGCCAGACTTGGCCCTGTATTGTTGTGTGAAAGATGCCAAGTGATGGGACATCAGTGTGAGCCCAGACACACAATTTCCTGCAGGGAGAAAGAAGGAGGCTGGGCTGCAGGGGGCACTCAGCACCCAAATAAGACAGGGGCAGTTCCAGGCTCAGGTGAAGATGAAGGTTAAGGTCTGCTTTTTCGGGGAGGGTCTGTGGATTTCTCCGACTCTAACAGTTCTCCTGGGATCCTCTGTTTATTTGTGGTTCTGCTCCTACCATGAAGTTTCTGAGTTAGAAAAGTTTGCTATTATAGGAGGAAATACTCTCACATATCACAAAGGCAGTTTTAATTGATGAAGGTAGGAAAATGCAGAGGAGGCCAGGTGAGGCTGTAGACACTGTCAGCCCATGATGCCAATCTTACAACTAGTGATGCAGAAGGGTGGGAAGCTGATGGAGCTTCCTAACTACCCAGTGTTCCAAGCTAAGCCCATCACTGCCATTGATTCCTCCCTGAGCACAGTCGCCCACCAGGAGTCCCCCATGTGCCCAGCAGCAACCACACCTCAGTATCTTCACTGTGCACAGTCATTATCTGGTAGGAGCTTCCAGGATGGTTGTCTTTGGCGCAAACCGGTTGATGACTGTCACAGAGTGGCAGCTGGGTACCTGCCTGGTCCTTGGGACTCCTTGATGTTGAAGAGATGGGTGGTGCATTCTCTGTGCCAACACACTGTTTATGAATTTTTGTATAGAAACAATGATTTTACTTGATTCTCTCACATAACATGGAAAAGCAAGAATGCAGCCTGCAAACAATTGTAATTTTCTACTTTATCCCAGGTTTATTGTTTCTGAATTCTATCTAGGATCCAGGCACAGTATTGCCTTTCTTATAAGGAATTCTTCTACCTATGCTGAAGCCATTTATTTCCTATATTCTTTGGTTTCTGTCCAGGCACCAAAATCTTAAGTAGGAAAATTCTTCTTTTCCACACACTAATATTCACCTCCTGAAGATAAAGGACAGTCTGTCCTTACTTTGAATCTGAAGTAGGAGCTGTTCCTGTACAACTCAGGGCCCTCAGAGATGCAAATGTTCAGAGTCAGATGTTTCTCCTTGTGGGGTGACCTCCCCTGCCAGTGATT